TCTATACTTATAATAAATCTGTAAAGAGGTCAATTCTGTACATGAAATATATTTCCAAAGTAACTATCAGGGGGTGATTAGTGATCGATACTGATGCCAAAAATGCAAACAGTAAAATTTTTGTCTGTCTGTCTGTATGTTCGTTATAGAAACAAAAACTACTCGACGGATTTTAACGAAACTTGGTACAATCATTTTCCATACTCCTGGGCAGGTTATAGTATACTTTTCATCACGCTACGATCAATAGGAGCAGAGCAGTGAAGGTAAATGTTGGGGAAACGGGAGAAATTACTCCATTTTTTTAAGCTTCCGTCGCGTGTGCAGCCTTAATGGTTAAAGCTACACAGAAATCATGTATAACGTAAATGTTCTCCTTAAAATTATATAAAAAATATCCCACGACAGCATATGTCTATCTTTTATGGTTGACTCACTATAACACGTGTAACTCCCGATAGCGTAGCAGTTCGGAGCTTTCTGATTATATTTGTCTACTCTTACGTTTATAACACTCTCACTCATCCCTAATTAAAAAAAGTTAACATTATTATCTATTCAATAAAAAAGAATCATAGAAATCGGTGTCAGTTGTTTCTCGCATGGTCAGTTGTACGTCGCTCTTTCCCGGGTTAGCAGTTCTAGAAATCTTTATGTTCACGTGCCGGACGAGTTAACTTTCAACATAGTTTACCCGGAAGCTTTGTGCTGAAGTATTTTTGTTCTGTAAGTACTTAAGCCTCATGTGAACGTGATCTAAACAATATTACCAATATATTAACTTAATAACACACAAGGAGTTACACTCCATCCAAAGCCCAGCGACACTATAACATATATAGGAATGACGTCTTAGCAAAAGTTGTTTAGTCTGATGGGCATTTCCTGTTGACTTACAAAAATGAAAGATCTAGAACGTCTCGAATCGTCTCGCAAATCACATTGTTTTCCCGTCCCCGGGCTCTTAGAATTCAACATCAGACGTTTCAGGTCTTCGATTTTGACGACCCCGTTGTCGCTGGCATAAGCAACAGGATCCGCGTACGAAGTCGCGGGCAGAAGCTAGTACTAAATAAAAGGGAAAATATTTTTTTTAAATATCTGTAAAAAGGTCGTAGTAGGTAGTAACATAAAATAGGTACTTAAATACTGTCGTCGCAAATCTGCCTACCAACCAAGTTTAGCAATTAAGGTAAATATCCCCCTATGGGAAATGCTTACTTATGCTCAGTGGTGGACTTTTGTTAGAATATAATTATGAATAAATAAATGGACAAAATATAAAAATAGAAATTTCAGTGAACACGCGACCAGTTTTTGTCCTGGTTTACAAACTGATAAGAGGCAATAGTAATGCGTCATTGTGTCATTTTTATCGCTTGCTAGAATTTAATTTCAGCGAACTGTCTTTAGTAGGTAGTAATACACGGATTTATAAATAGGTTCATGGTCTCATATTATTAAACGATATACGTTAGTATTTATATAGTATTTATTACTGTGGCAGCGTGGCAATCAAGAAAATATAATCACCACATTTTAGTTCGGGTTTTGATTACGTTATGTAGCTTCAGTTATTTTAAGTTTAAATATTTCATTTAATATATAGTATGCTATCGATACTCCTCTGAGACCAGAGGCACATCGAGCAATATGTTGTAGAGCACTCTTGCTATCAGTTAGTATGACTGTTTTTTGAAAATCTGTTGTACCAGCATATAATAGGGCATCATTTATAGCAATTAATTCAGCTGACATTATCGTCAAATTATTAGGAATTTTAATCTTACATTTATTACCCAGTAATGAATCTACAAAAGCGGCACCTACCCCACATTTATCCTTAGATCCATCACAAAAAAGCTTGTGCCATTCCAAAATATATTTAACATTCAATTCATTGATTACATTCGACTTTAAAGCATTTATCTCCTGACATCTTTTAGCACTTTTGATACAATCTGTCTTCCTAAATTACGGTTTTAATATTAATACTTGATACCCATGTATTTAAAGAGAACATATCTAGTGGATCCGAAGAATAAATTACTATTATTATAACTTGTTCTAATGTCATAGCTAGAAGTGGTTTCTTTTTATTTTTCCAGTACGAGTAGGTACCTATCTTGACAGAATAAGCTGAGTTCTGTTAGTAGCTTAATAGTTGTATTAAGAGTTCTAGATTTACTTTTAAGACAATATTTATATGCGAGATTTAGATTCTCATAGATAGGGGCGTTATATTTGATTCACTTTCCGTAACGTGTATTGACGTGCTTTTGATAAAATCCCCTATAATACGTAGTGTTTCATTTTGGATTTTATCTAATTTACAAATGTCTCTGCAAGCACTCATATCATATAAAAAGCAGCCGAAATCAATTCTGCTTTTTATAAGCGATAGGTATGTATAGGTAACCTACGTAAATACTGCGGATGGATGCCCCGACCATGCCCTGTTAATACCTTTAATATATTTACAAATTTTGTTATCTTCTGGCTAATTTCATTAATATGTTTAGCCCATCTTAATGATCTGTCCAGCCACTTGGCTGGCTTGGTACTTACCCAAATATGGTATATTATCTGTTCCAACTATTCTTTTGCTGTATAGTTTCTACAAAAAATCATAAGCTTAGTCTTGTCGATAGAAACATCTAAGCCTATTTTATTAAGTGAAGTGACTATAAAGTTTAAAGCATTCTGAATATATTTTTCTGTAATAATAGAACTGAAAATTAATGTTCATTACATTTTTGGATAAAATAAACCTATATAAGAATTTTTAAAGTTGTAATTTGCACTAAACGGCGGGTAAATGGATCCACCCTATTCTTTGATTTTTTGTAAAGTGATCTATCTACATAAGTTCATGGGTGCCTATTTTTACAATTAGTTGAGCATAGTTTTGGCTTATACTTTTTGCTTCACTTGAAATGTAGGTATATCTCAGTCTTTGTTTATTTCTTGACGTGTGCTTATCAATATATGACAATAAATAATACCATTAAGAATCAATGTGCACTATTGTTACATAGAATACATAGAAGTAGAATATTGATAAAAATAACTATAGACAGTCGCACGTATAAGATGTTAGGTTATAGTGAGATTGCCGTTTGATTGAAAATTTGTCAGTCTCAATATTCCTGTTTGATATAATAAAATTAGTGTGCTCTAGAGATTATAAGGAATAAATCGACTTGCATTTCATTAATTTACGCTACAATTTGTGGTGGGCCAATTCTCCATATAAAAAGAAACTGTCTCCTTTACACGTTTCTTTATGTGCAAATAGTATGTAAAACATACGTTTTGAGACTGTAACAGTATGTGCATTTTATGATCGTATGTTCGTTATTATTCTTATTATCTATGCCAACTATGCACTTTATAAGGCCAAACATAAAGAGGTCGTTAGCAAGGTTCGTTGTGCGCAGCTGCTCGCGGCTCGCCTTCCTTTGTATCGTTCGTGAGGGGGGTTGACGTCACAAAATGGCGCAGCGTCGCGTCTTCCGCCATTTTAACTTCAATGCGTCATGGTTTCGTTCAAGCGAATATGAACTTTAAGACGTATTTTACTATGGAAAATTCCAAAGGAACGAATCATCGATTTTTAACCGGGACGGCTGTACTGTAGAGATGTAGAGTGTAGAATCTACAGTGTAGATGCAGATGTTTCAACAATGATGAAATATAACCTCGATATTATATTTATATGTTTGCATTTTATACCTGCAAGCACAGAATAATTAATAAGTAGTTAAAACTGCACGCTAAGATTATTCTATAATCTGAGCTTGCATATTAGCATATTACCTACACCTAGATATTGAATACAAAATATGGAGCAATGTTATACTTGTATTAAGTATATTCTACGCAAATATTATTGGGCTTAAGTGGTTACATATAGGTACTCAAATATAATTTACAGGTTATATAGGTTTATAGGTTTATAGGTACTATATTGCAGATGATATCTAGGTATAGCAAGCCTTGGTTTGAGAATAAAATTATTGCGGTTTAGTTCCGTTACACTATGCAGACTATTAAACTTATAATAAAAGTACTATTTGTGTAATTAAGTACCTACCAATCATTTGCCTAGCTTGTATGCTAGGTTTTAGAATTGTTTTTGTATCACACTCAAATTTTGTGTTGGTCTGAGAATAATAATAATTTCCTATAAATAAGAGCCATGACGTGAAATGTGAACGTGAAACCCAAACCCTACACACGCACTGTAGATACTAGATACCCCCTCTTGTCAGCTTCTTGCATCTCTTCCGTGCTTTGGTTGCCTTCCCTTCTGTTGTCTCTCTCCTCATCATACCTTTCCTCTCGTACCTTTAACTTTTGTACGTTTGGATTTGCTAAGTAAATTAAATTTAATATTTTACACAAGTACATATTTTGTAAAGATATATGTAATACCTACATTATAACTCAATGGTATAGGGCCATGATGAATGCATTGATGGAAGGCCGTGACGAACGCCTTGACAACGTCGTGTCCCCCATGTTTTGGATGATGTTTTACCACGCTACCCAACTTAGTAATTTAATTTGAACAATTAAGTATATTTTAGCTATTTTAGTAGGTACCTATTAGCTATTATTTATTATTAGTTTTCTGTAGGTATTCATAATTTTTAATAGTACTTAATTTACTTAAACGAAAGTTAAGAAATTAGAAATATGTAACGCAGGTTTCCATACATACAATTGTACAACTAAACTTATCGCCATCTTCTCAAACGGAATTAATTTGTTGGGACGCTGCGCCGCCATTTTGAAATGAACAACTGCGCAGTTGTATTGATCGACGCAAGCGACACTTATATAAGGCGGCCATGACGTAAAATTGCTGTTCATTTTAAATTCGTCGTGGCGTGAAGCAGTTGTTGTGTAGTGTAGTGTGGCCGTGAGCAGCCTGTTCGGATTCAGGTGTGTAATATTGTACCATCCACAATATTTTAAGCCCTATTTAATAAAAAATGGGTTATGCTGTACCAGAAAAGTCTGTTGTTGATTTTTGTGAAAGTAAAACCGAATCCTTATCTAACTGGGTTCGTCAAGTTAAATGTAAATCTATTACCGCTAAGACAAAGAGAAAGCGTGATCTGAGAATAATCGCCATTTTGAGTAATTCTTTGTTACGGGCGGAGAGTGAGCTTGTTACGAAACAAAGAGAACGTGCTAGAAGGTGGGCACAAATGCAAGCAGATCTTGGATTGTGCAATAAAGAAGAAGAAGTCTCAAGGCAGCAACAAGAAAAAATTGATAATTTATGGAAGAATGATCTCAGTGGCTTAGATAGTTTTTTCAGAGAATTAGATAATGTCAAACCAGTCCTAAATTATTAATTTAGGTAAAGTACAGTATTAGTATCTGTGATATTATGTAGGATGTTTTTCTAAATTACAGTCCCATTGCGTTTCGCGTGGGTCTGCATCCGACGGCCGCCATCTTGGTTGCCGCCTGGGGCGTGGCTGCGGCTACTACAAAATGGGTTTGTAACGGTATCATGCATTTATATAATTAGTAAGTTTGTTAATTAATTGTAAATATTTCAATTTTCTATATTAAATAGTAAATTGGAATTTGTTTTATTCATATTGAATATAAAGAATTGTAACATATGTTTAAGTATGGAAATAAAAGAATGTTTAAAAAGAATTTCGCATTACTGAATTTTATTTTCTCATAATGTAATTTCGCCCAACATGTATTATTCCATGAGTCATCGCCATCTCTTCGTGAAGACGTGCAGTTGTGATGCAGGCGAGTTACGCGTGTAGAGCTGTCCGCGGGGACTCTACTGCTGCTGCATATGCGAGGTCGCTGGCTGTCGTGGCGACTTACAAAACCTGCCTCGTGCTATGCGTCGAGCACTCTAACCAGAGTCCCGGTTATCAGCCCACTAGGTAAAACTAGGTGATTGCGTCATAATTTCAACACTAAAAAATCAGTATGCCTGTGTACAGGCTATCGTGTGTGTGCCATTTCTTTTAAATCTCAGATCCACGATCTCACGACTGATGCTGCCAGAAAAGACTGCAATCGAATTGAATTTATTATTGTGCTGCCTCCAACCAAGCACATATACATAGTTGCCCAGCAGGAAGGAGGTCACTTTTTTACATGTAAACATGACGCAGCATGTGGTGAGTCATTGTTATTCATGCAAAAGCAAACTAAGGCTAACAATGATTTTGTAAATTAAATTTCTGTATATTGCAATTGTTGTGCAATAATATTCAATTCATACAGGTTTTGCCATTTTGTTTCCGTATTGTATCAATAGACTTTAATGGAGAATATGTATACACAATGTAAGGAAAATAATAGTCAACATGCAGACTGCAGCGTTTAAACTAGTTTCATCGATGCTGCAAATACAACGGTAATAAGCTAACTTTACAGGTGAAGATGATTTTTAAAATTACGATTATTTCTATTTCATTCTAACATATTTAGTACCTATTAGAAAAATACATAATATAAATATGATAATGTGAAAAATATAACCCTGAATTTGAATAATGAACGAATGGAACGTTATAATTGTGGGCTGATGTATATCCGGGACTATCCAAGACATTGCTCTTATGTACATTCAAAGAATCCCATGTAATTACGAAAAATGATATGTTAACTTAAGCCTTACGAAAGAGGGACTTGTTATAATGGTAAGTAAGTCAACATACAAATGTAGGTGTTAAATACTGTTAAGCTATACTAAGTTAAAAATTTCTTGAAACGAACAATTTAAGAAACTGATGTGTGTGTGCATTTCACAGCTGACATGGCGCTATTGATTTCGCGAATCCAAGAACCTAACCGTTCTTAATTAAACGAAAGCAATGTTGAAGCCTTTAAGAGGAAGGTGGATACTGTTCTGGAACTTTGAATCGGACTATCGCCTTGCACACAGATAAGTCATCCATCCTCACGCTCGTAAATATATACTAGATTATTAAGCCAAACACTATCCATTAATGCTATGGAGATGCAATATTAATCTATAAAATTATCATAAACTTACGATAAAATTAGATCTTACCCGAATATCTTCTTCTGGATTTACTTAGGTAAGTAGTCGCTAAATAAATAATCGATGCTTAAAGTCAAATTTGACCTTTTGCAGTAATTAATACCCTCTGACATAAATGTCAACATAAATCATAAGGCTTGATACGATCAGTCCTTTAACCCTTATTTTTATTTTCAGATTAGTTTTATAAATATTTTAGTATACTTATAAAGTAAACACGTAAAATATGTCTTCGAAAATGATGCGAGGCACGATAGTTGAAATGATAATAATATTACTTAAATGCATCAAAACATTTTACTTAAATGAATATCAAATTCCGAAACTCATTTTAATATTTGGTGAACTAAAACAATCTATTTGAATAAATTAACATTATAAAACTACAATTTAAAAAAGTTCAGTAATTTTTATTGGTGGATTGCTAAGTATGAATGCTATGTTGAAATTGAAATGTGTATGCTGATAAGTAATTAGTAAAAAAAGAGACCGAAGATTAGAAGACGTTTGGTTGGTATGTTAGTGCTATTTAAACCTATTCTTATTGATATACGTATAGTACTCTTATAACTATGCTATAAAATTTACTCCTACGCCTTAGCTTTTTTGGTTAATTTGGATTATTTCACAAAAATTAAATTCGATGCTGCTTTTAAGATAAAATCTTTGATGTGAAATAGGAAATTTTCTTTTTGAAGCATCGATCACTAATTTTATTAGTGATCGATGTTTTGAGGAGAGAAAAAGCAATCTCTTTTTATAAATATCATCTAACTCACTCTATCTCAACTCATATTTATTGCAAATTGATATTTTTCATAGAAAAATGATGACAAACGAGTATACAGTCCACCTGCTGGTAATTGAATGATTGGCCCATTGGCACTTACATGTATGCAGCAAGCTGCTATTTTAAGCTGTTATTCTGTGAGCGCGAGGTGCTTTTCCGGTCTAATTATTTCTCAAGTTTTGTTTTCAAAAATTATGTACTTTATATTTTTTTGTATTGATTTTTTGCTGGTGATGATCACTATCACTACAGCCCATCACAAGTCCACTGCTGAACAAAGGCCTTTCTCCATGGATTGCCACAAAGTACGGCCCTGTGCAACCTTGCATCCTGTGATGATGATGATGATGATGATTTATTTATTTACTGCATAGCATAACTTCATATATTTACAACATTGTGTCGTGCATGATTGTAAATTTCTAACATTTATCCTTTCAGATTATCGAAGGAAAATGTTAAGTATTGTTGGTATACAGAATGTAGTTAAATACATGTGTATGCACAGAGTACCCGTGTAATACGGAAAATATGCAGAAAATGGTGCATTAAGATCAAACAATAGCCTCGTAATGAATAATTATAACTCGGAAATACATAAATCCTATTTTTTTGGTGTTATGTGATGAATATTTTTTAAATAAGCTGTATTTTACTGCTAATTAAAAATTATTTAATTATAATTGACTGCTTGTTCGATGATAATACTAGGCATCATTTTTTGCTATAATGTACAATATCAGATATATTGAAACAGTCATGAAAGGGTGCATGTGGAATATTGCAAGTATACCACAGACTGTCGTTGATGCGCTACACGCCTGCTTTTATACAACACGAGTGAGACTACTGCTCTACTGTTAAAACTGTTGCTATGCCAAAGCAGCATTGATAAACTCGCCCGCTGCGGCCGTGTCACAGCGTGTCTGCCTGCACTCAATCACTGCTGTCTCTCCGCGTTATCTACATCTGTCATAAGTATACATGACCCCTACTCTTCGTTATTGTGCGTCCGGCATTCGGTGGCTGTCTGCATAGTACACGCTGACGTCCGACCGCTGCCACAGAGCGTCCGACCTCTGATTGTCTTGCTGCATCACAGTACGTGCAACATTCAACGACAGCTACATATCTAGTCTGAACTGTGATTGCTGTTGCTGCAACGCCTCGGTAACTGGTAGCTGTTGCCGACCAGAAATAACTCAATGTGCGTCTGCTGCTACACAATACCTAGGTAACATATAATCAGACTTCATATTTCAAGGAACGCACTTACTTCAGTTTAGAACATTTAAGACAATTTGCGACCAGCATCGCTTATCAGCGTCATATTTAATATAATCTAAAATTCGCTAAGAAATTACCTGAACGAAAACTGCAATTCCCATGGAGGTCGTCGCATATCGTAACAGGTACCTATTTTAAGAAATTGATAACTCATTGATAAAGTCTAGCGAGTTAGAAGCGATACCAATACCGAATTCTCGTGAGTTTAATGAAAAATTACTTTTGGGTTTACTGTAAAAAAGACCTTGGACCGCTATGTGTTTCTCCCTACTGGTAACTATTTCAGATTTTAAGTAACTTTACATTTCTACCATTCCTGCACGGAAATCACAACTAAGCTGCATCAGGCATGGTCGCTGTGGCCGCATCGTGTCGTCTTTAAATTGTCCGACGGCGACCCGCTGCTATTTCACTGCTTCGTGAAGCATCCGAGGCTGAGGTACTATCATTTATATCACAGGTAGATGGAACCTCTGGCTAAATTTTGCACTGTACATTCCGATGAAAATAAGTATTTGGCCTTTTAATGCATATTCAGTGAGATTAACCACTACCTCATATCTCATTACCGGAGTGGAGTTTAATGATAGAAGATTATATAGTTGACCGTTCCTGCTGGCCTTGTATTAACAGGTATTTGATTCCAAATTTCAATAATTTAACAAATCAATAAAAGAATATGCGCTAGTAATATAAAGATCATGAAAAATGTCACGTCGAATTTCGAGTGTAAGTAGATTCAGATACAATTTTAAACTAATTAATCTGCTACGGCACTCCAAAGTGAAACTTATCGAAGCTGGCTCCGCAGATTTCGATCTTACAAGTAAATGCTCAACATATAATTGTTTCACTAGTTCCGGAGTTGCTGCATTCCTCCATCCTCTAACATGTTTTGATATACTGAGGCAAGTGAAAACTGCTATAATTATTTTGCTGAGTCACAGCAACAGCGCTAGAAGTAGTAACAATAAAACAATACATGAAGAAGCAACTGAATAGTTAAGAGATAACCGAACTTCTAATCGCCGCTACAACCTAGAAAACCGCGATTTCATTTGAGCTGAGGACGAAGTAAGCCCTTATAATTTTAAGTACAGTTAATTTAACTTATTTGAACGTCTAGAAATTTGGTAGCGACATGAAGGTGGAAATTTAGATTGCAATGTACATCGTCTCCTGATCATATTAAAGTAAGTGCATGGTAGTGAATTTATTCTTTTTTAACTAATCAGACTCTTCGTAAGAAATGTGCGAAGTAATTGCGAAACTTTTGTGGGATTTACTCGATATAGCCGACACTTCAAACTTCAGGTAGTTTCATATCAGAAATTAGTATTTGGGCTGTAGTTACATACTACTTGCATATTTAAAGAATGTATAGAT